TAATCAAAATTTTTAATTTCCTTTTTCCAGAAACCTCACAAACCCTTAGCCCCAGAGTTACGACAGATAGTCAATGTGCTGGAAGGAAAGAAATTCCTTAATTTCCAGGATGCCTTTGAGACTTGTAAGTATGTTATACCCAATTGGCATTCAAAAGAAATACTACTAAGTGCCTTATCTCTTTCTATTTTCAGTTTTCCTTTCCCTTTTTACCCCCCCTTATCTCTCACTGCCTTTCTCTTTCTGTTTGTCTTTATTGATGGGGATGGCATGATTACATGCCATGTCCACTGTAATTTAGTTTATTATTTATGTTTACACAGGGATGGCTCCACTAGTGCTTAGTGACTAAGAAGTCCATTACTGGTCCTATGAGTCACACTTATATTAACACTTTTCTTTGATTTCCGAAGAGATTCTTTTAGATTGCTTGATTATATTGTTATTCGAATTTGAATAACACTATAATGATCATAATTTCAACAACAGTAATAAGAGTATCGGTATTAGTTCCATTAGAAAAATTATATATTTACCCACAAATTCAAGGACTGAGGTAATTAGGTAGAGTCACAAGGGCCTACTACTTAACTCCTTGGCTGCAACACAATTCACAAACGACTACAGTGGGCAGGGACATAACCCCATGGCCATTGTGCTAAGGTACATTAAAAGAGTTTTTTCTATTTATTTTATTATTTCAGATAAGTGTGTGAATACCCCTTCCATTGGAGAGACCAAAGCTAAGGGACTATTTGAGAGCTATCCCGATGACTTCCTGAAGTTCACCGAAGGTCATGTAACAAAGGTATATCCTCTGGGGACACGCACAGACTCTTCTAACTTGAAGCCATATCCTTTCTGGAGTGTTGGATGCCAGATTGGTAAGTTTTCAGATAGAGCTTTTCATTTTTTTATATATGTTTGTGTATGTTTACACACACATGCAAGCAGACATGCACACACGCGCAAACACACACGCACGCACACACAAACACACACTCACTCTCACTCACCCACTCACTCACTCACTCACTCACTCACTCACTCACTCTCACTCACTCACTCACTCACTCTCACTCTCTCACTCACTCTCTCTTACAAACTCACTCACCTCACTCACTCACTCACTCACTCACTGTACACAAACACACACACACACATATACATGCACGCATGCTCAGACACGCATGCACACCACACACACACACACACACACACACACACACACACACACACACACACACACACACACACACACACACACACACACACACACACACACACACACACATGTTATATATATGTTTATGTCTATCTATCTCTCTCTCTATATATATATGCATGTGTGTGGGTGGGTGTGGTGGGTAGTTGTGTATGTGTGGGTAGTGCGTGTGTGTGTGGTGGGTGGATGTGTGGGTAGGGGGGTAGTTGTGTGTGGGTGGGTGGGTGGATAGTTGTGTGTGTGTGGGTGGGTGGATAGTTGTGTGTGTGTGGTGGGTGGGTGGGTGGATGGGTGGGTAGGTGTGTGTGAGTGTGTGGGTGTGTGTTTTGTTGTGTGTGTGTGTGTGTGTGTGGGTGGGTGGGTGGATGGGTGTGTCTGTGTGTGTGTGGGTGGTGTGTGTAGATAAAAGAAAGAGAGGTTGATTGATTGATTAATAGATATACATTTAGATATAGTTATAGATATATATTATATATATACCCATAAAACCATATATATAAAGAAGGAAAGTGAGAAATAGTATTTGATGTTATTCCATAACATAAAATTTATCTCCTACTACATTGTACCAGTTTGTGTTGGTAAGAAAGAATATTGAAGCATATGTTTATAAGATGCTGGTATTTCATGTTAACTCTTTTTTTTTTTCAGTTGCCTTGAACATGCAGACAGAGGACAAGGCCAATTTCTACAATGATGCCCTTTTCAAGAGTAACGCCAACTGTGGTTATGTTCTTAAGCCTGACATTCTTCTTAAAAAGGAACCATACAGTCCTTCAGAACTGTCTGATAGGTAATTTGCTGCAGATTTCTAGTCTTTTATTTTAGATTATGCCATTAGTGTTATTGATAACATTAGGAAAATCATAATGTCAGTGATAATGATAATAACAGTATCAATATTAATCCCTTGGATCCAGTTGCTTCTTGGCAATCGCATGGCTCAAAGTACGGGCATTGGGGTTACGTGAATGACCGCTCTGCCGGGTGCATGGTTTGTAAGCCATGCACACCCAAACACTTGTGTGCGGTGACAAGCTGCTATGCCTCCCCTTTACTATGTTATTTTATCTTTTTGATAAGAGTTTTAGTCTTTTTGCCATTTTCCTATCGCTTTTTTTCATCTGATTTGCTTTATCCAGATAAACTGTTTTCCTTGTACAGACTTCATTTCGTCCTTCTAGGTAGTCCATAACTCATAACAAGGAAAACTACAGTATGTAACATATTGTTATTTGCGTATTTTTTATTTATTTTCGTGATATTCAATTTTCTGTAATACAACCTGCACAGCTAATCACGGAGCTGCCACTCTTCCAGTTATGATTCAAGAACATTACATTCCACACACATTTATCAAAGTAAATAATGCAAAAGCCCCTTTCTAAACAGCAAATGAGTTTAATCACCCTTCAAGAGTTCTGTTCATATGTGGCGAGTCGTTGTCAATCTGGCCTTCAGCCAAAATGCTCATGACAGCAAATTCACGTCACCCAACCCGTAGCCATATTTTCCCATGATGGCATGTTCACATCACCTGCCTCTCAAGCCAAATTTTTTTTATGACATGATGATCACGTCATAAGGATAAAAGAGGTTAATAGCATTGAAAAAAAAATCACAAAAACTCAAATGGAAAATCTGGTGAGATCAAGTAGTTTACTAATTGACTCCTTGGTGGAGCACTTATGAAGCCATCTTTGCTTAGTAAACACATTGCACAAAAAAAAAATTCATTGTATAATATAACAGGTAGCAACAGTTTGTTTTATGTGGCTTCTTATGTTATGTCTCTTAAATGAAATTGTTTTAGTATATTTTTTTCAAAAGGCCTTTATGATTCTTGTATAATTCCCTTGTTAGCACACAATGTTTAGTTAATTTAGATTTAGTTCAAAATTTATAATATTTACATGTTAAAAGTTCCCATAACTCCAGTTAGAAATAACCCTCATTCACTCCTGGATACTGATGGGAGATGGTTATGGTGCCATTGTATAAGGGTTAATTTCAAAGTAAATGAAGTAACAAATGATTACTGATACTAATGACTAGTTCTGTTCTTTGCTTTTCTCTTTTCATTGTTAGACAAGGGTATTGCAAGGTTATTGATTCATAGCTTTAAAGTGTCTGTCATTGCTGAGGTTTGACAGAGAAGGGAAAAGTATCCCTGAGAATTGTTTAGTCTATAAGGAAATGATTTGACATAGCAAAAAGAGTTGAAGGTTTCTTAATTTATCATTACACGTTTTGCAGATAAGTATTCCAACTTTTTCATGCTTTTTGTCTTTTTTTTTTTTTTAGGTACACTAAAGTCATCCGTGTGACAGTTCTTAGTGGGCAGCACCTTCCAAACTCAGCCAAAAAAGGAGATATTGTGGATCCTTATGTACAAGTCAAGGTCCGCGGTCATCCACTAGATAAACAGAAGCAGCGAACTAAAGTAGTGAAAAATAATGGTAAGTTCATAAATTTCTTGCATTATTTTTGCCAAACTGTAAATGAATCTTTACATCAAAAGTTATTTAACCACTTTTCAAGATACATTTGTCATTTGTGTTATGGTTGTTAATACTGTTATTGATTTTAAAAATTACATTATTGTACTTTTTAATGTACTCATTAAAATTTCACTTTTTCAGGCTTTAATCCAGTATGGAATGAGACTTTAGAATTGCGTATAAAAGTACCTTATGTTTCTTTGATATACTTTTCACTACGTGATGAGAGTTCACTGGCTCGAGATCCTGTTCTTGCTTTGTGCTGTATTCCATTCAACTCTCTCACAACAGGTAAGAGACTGAGGCAGTTAATTTATTTTGATTATTTACTTTGCCATGAAATATAACAAACTTATTTACCTATATTGCATAATTTAGCAAGAGATAAGTATCTAATGTTTGTTTATTTTCTGTATTTGTTACAGGCTATAGATTTGTCCATTTAACTGACCTGGGAAGCAAGTCATTAGCACCGTCTGCTCTCTTTGTTCATATTAGTATTAGTGACAACTGAAAGAACTTGACATCAACCACCATAACTAATCAGAAGCAATAAGTCACTCTAGAAAGTGTTCCAGGATTTAATTACATTAAGCTGTTGGTTCCACTCAGCATTTCATTGTAATGGTAGCTAGAAAATGTCACATTTTGCTTCTTTATCCCCAAGCCACATCACAACTAAATCTAGGCAGATGAAAGCTTTTCAAAGAAAACTAAGATTAGTGCAAATTGTCCATGATTAGTGAATTCATTAATAATAATTAAATTATATGTTTACAAGGTCCATGTAGCACAGCTACCAAAACTATTAATATTTAATGTGAACAATGTCTGTTTACATCCTAGGTGAATATGGCTTCAATCCTGTTAAAATGGAGCATTGATGAAAGTTGCTGTACTTAGGATATGATATTTGACTGGCTTTCAAAATATACCAGAGCTTAAACTGAAATGATGAGCAGTGTTCACTAGCTTGCCTTGGAATAATAAGGATTTCCTCTCACTATAAAGGTTTAGTAATGCCTAAATTGTATTCACTCTTATCTTGATAAGAATCCTATAGGACTGTAAAGAATTCTTGACAATTTCTTTCTTTAATAATTTCAAAATGCAGTGTACTATAACAAAACCACTGACTAGCAAGGCCTTCATTTTGTTGCCTGAATTTTCTCCAGTAAATATAATTATTTTACAAATTTGATGCAGCTTATATAAAAAAGTTACAAGCTTAACTATGTTCCCATTATGCCAGCCTAAAATAAAAATGCAAGTTAACACACAGCACAGTTGAAAATAAAATTGCATGTAAAGTCAGTAAACTATCACTATATGATGTGAAGACTGCTACAGTTGATGAATGTATATTAACATTTACTTCAAATATTCTGTCATGTCTTAAACCCTCCCAACTTAAAACAATGAAACACAAAGAGGTGTATTTTTAGGGCTTTGATAAGCTAAACTTAACATATAGCAGGTAAACTATATTTTCTTTTCTTGTACTATCATATCATTTTGGTAATATCAGCTATATTAGCTGTTAAAAGGCCTTTTAGTACTTTTTCATATGTAAATGCAGTTTACATCACAATGATAGCAGTGTTTGTTTTGATAGTTTAGCATATTGAGGTTTTAAAGATATTGCCTAACATTTGCAGCTTACATTAAATGGATTTAGCCCATGTAGGGAGAAAGTGTTTAGTACCACAGTTATTTGTGTTGCAGAGTCCTCTTCCAGTAACATGAAATATGTGTGCATCCCATTTTAGTTTATTCTGTCACATGGAATTGAGAGTGGTAAGAACATGTATAAGTGGTACTGAAAACTAATTTATATTTCTTATGCAATAGTAATTTTCTTACCTGGCATTTATAAGAAGATAGTGTTAATGATTTTATGACAGCTTTTTTATACAAAATAAATTTACATATATATAGATGTCCGTTTTTTAAGCTGTGTGTTTGTATGACTATAACATTAATTGGTAGTTTCATTTATATTTTCATTTTAAATTACAGTAAAGGTAAAAGTAAACAAAGTGACTTTATTTGAATATTTCATATGAATCAGTAAGCTGAAATCATTAGGTGCTCGTTAGCTGTGTTAAGAAACGGCATTCACAATACGATTAGTTGTTTATTTAGATTGTGCTTGTTTGATTTTCTGTTGATGCAGCTTCTTAATGCTTTACTGCAAGCTATGTCCAGGCAGTGAAAGTTTGCTTACATCCTCATTGTGTAGCTTTTTGGTTGTGAATTGTGATAATATGTGAGGGCAGATCTTGAATGCAATAGAAAAAAATAACTAGCACCATAATTTTTCATATTGTCACCCCAAAAATTTTAATCTAGTTTATATTTTTGTTAATAAACTTATAACACTGTATTTAAAGAGAGAGAGGGAGAGAAAATATGGATTGTTTGAAGGTAACAAGAACTAAAAAGAAATTTTATTGTTAGAATCAAATGATACAAAACCATCATGACTGTTTTGTTATTTTATATCTAAAATCAGAGATTTACTTAGTCTTAAGTCATAAGCAAAATTTTGGATTTTTTTTTATAGCCATGTACAGGTAATTAATGTCACTCATGGAAGTGTGACTTTTTACCACAAAAATATGAACATTCATATACACATTTTCCACCATTTTGCCTTGTATTATCTTCATTGAATAACTGTATTTTGACAGTAGTATGTTTGATAGATTTCCAGCATTTTGTCACTAATAGCACAGCATCTATATTTGGGTAATATGTGTCATTTGTCATTTAATTTAATTGTTAAGTCATTTGCTTTTTGTAATTTCAAGATAGGCTTTTGTTTTGTATAGCATGTTTATTTACAATCCAAAATTTAGTAATTTAAACAACCTAGAGAGAGAATTAAAAATAAATTCAGATTACTTAGTGTCTACAATAACACTTGTTAAGGTGTATTAGGTATGCCAATTTATGCCAAATACATTGCTACGAGCATTGGCCATACTCAAAAATATTATTACTGAAGCTAATTCTGTGATTCCCACCCTGTGATTATGTACATTAAAACTGAATAAGATTTTTGCATGGTACTTCACATCATCACAACTGAAATTATCTCATAAAGGCTTATTTTCTCAAAACTGCTCATGCATTTGTGCAATTGATATCACTTATGTTACTTATAAATAAAGTGTCGCTTATTAATCTTCAATCTTATCATTGCGTGAACATTTTTATGTACTTTCTTCAACAGAAGGACCATTACTATATATATATTGTGATGAAGGTGCTTTCAATATGGCTATATTGTATATATACAAAAATAAAAAATTGTTTAGGCATATGACTGTGCTCTGTAGATAGAGAGGAATCTGATATCTATTGTGAGAAAATGAAAAGGGAAATGCATATACAATCTTGTTAATTATTATAGAATTTATTTGATTGTGTTCAATATCAGATTTTATTAAATATTAGGAGCTTTGCCCAATTCTAGTACCCTTTAAACATTTTATGTTACATAAAAGTGCTTTTGTATGAGATGCAATTTCTTTTCCTTCAGAAGTTCCAGCAGGACTATTTTCTATCTCTTCCTTTTCCCTTTAGCCTTTTTCTTTCTACCTCGTTTTCTAGAGTTGGGAGATGACTTTGACTCTGTCTTCTTTAATGGTGGCCTGGAAATGTAAAACCGTATAGGTTATAAAATAGTCATAAAATAATGAAGGCATTTCTCAATGTAATATATGAGAGTAAGAAATTATGGAATGTGTAAGGATTATACATCAGCTAAAATGATATACACCAGCCTTTTTTTATAGCAATCAAAAGAATGCAACAAAAACCCAAATACATTAAGAAAGAGACAATAAATTGTGATGTTTCAGGTCAGACTAGACTCCACATACAAAAATGATCATCTGCTGTAATATTTAATTTGACAATTCATAATCTGTTATTCCTTTCTTTTTAAAGTTGCACTTCATCTTTGTGCACATGTTACTTGGTTGTGTTTTGGTTAAACATAATGTTCTACTAATGCATTATAAACATAAGTCATCAGCAGCTTGTAATTTGAGTGGATTTCTACTTTTGTCACTTTGCAAACAAACCTAGATCCTCGAGGGGTGGCAGGGGTTGGAGCCGGTCTTTTGCGAGAGGGCTGCATCTGTTGCTTAACAAGGTCTCCTATCTTCCCTTGTTCAGCAAGCATGGCCAGAAATGTGATGATGAACTGGTCATAATTGTGTGTTCTTCGACTATCATCTATCTGTTAATTCAGGATAGATATTGGTAGAGTTAGATATATCAGATGAAACAAAATCTGTTTAACAAATTGATTGATATACAAGACCATGTTCTGAAAATTATAAACTTTACAGTATAGAACACGAACATCCAAGACCCTTTCATGAAATTATGAGATTAATAATTCTGGTGAGATTAAGATGCAGAAAGTTCAGAATATTTATATAATTTTACATGTATTATCTTTTTAACCCCTAAAATCTGGATGACATGACCAGCATATGAAAAAAATTGGCTTGAGGGGTGGGTGATGTGAATATGCCATCATAGGTAAAATTGAGCTGTGGGCCAGGGTGACACAAACTTGCTATCTTGAACATTTGTGCTTAAGACCATGGTGACAGAAATGACTTGCCATGAGCACATAAAACTCTTGGAGGGAGATTGGACTCAATGGGCAATTAGGAAGGGCTTTTGCATTATTTCCATTGATAAACAAATGTAGAATGTACTGTCTGTGAGACATGACTGGAAGAGTGCCAACTTATAGGAAGACAACATTTCCATGCTCAGTATCCTATTTGTCAGGTTATATTAGAGAAAATTTAATATTACGGAAAAATATAAAAAACTACTCAATTAACAAAATGTTACTTATTATTATTGCACCGACTTATGGAACACAGAGAAAAATCTATGGAGTCTGTGGGAGGAATACAGTCTATTACCATCTAAATGGATAAAGCAAATTAAATGACAAATGTAGATATTGGAAAATGGCCAAAACGCTAAAAACAATTATGCAGAAAACAAGAAAATAACATTGCGATGGGGAGACACAGAGTCTTGTCACTGCACACAAGTGTTCACTAGTGCCATACCTATGAGCCACACACCCATCAGAGTGACTGCTCAAGTATACCTAATGCCAGTATTTTGGGCCATGTAATGGCAGTGAAGCATCTAGATACAGTGGGTTAAAATGTTCATGATACTATAAAAAAATATCTACGTTTTTCCAGCAAATCTGAACACAAAATAATACACCAGACGTTCATACCAGATGCTTCTGCTAATGAAAATGTCAAATGTACCTTGTAACGTTTTCTTTTCTCAAGTTCATCCTTCAAGAGCGTTTCACAAGTTGAAATTTCCTTGCCAAGAATTTTTATGAGGGAGAGAAGATCGACAGGAGAGGTTGATCCATCTTCCAATGAATTAAGCACCTCCATATCCCAGCTGCTCTTATCTGCAATTATTCACAATTGATTTTTTCATATTTATGACCACAACTTCAAACACTCAATTTATTAAGTGAACATGAAGTAAAGAAATCATTTAGTAGCTCATAATCCCATCTAATGACACCACATGGTTAAACATACAAATTTCTCTGACAAACTTCACTTTCCAAATGTATCATGGCTCTACAAACACTCATTCAATACTCTGAGGAAGAAAATCATTTCTCCTCTAAATTCACATCATTAAATTCACTAAAACGTATATTGAAGATAGAGAGAATTAGCACTACTAACCATGGAATATTTCCTCCCTGGATAGCAAAAGAACAATCTCCAACTCTCTTATAAGGCCAACATAAAGGCAAATAATATAACAATATCAGTCAAGGGCATTTCATATTTGCAAGACTAGAATAGAGACTACATTAAAGGGAAATGAAAGAAACAGTAGGCTACAAGATATATCACCATACCTTTTTACAAACAAATCCTCGACACTCAACTACACAGGTAGAGGAATAGGGACAAACATTCCTCTGAGCCTGAACTACTGCGATAAAACAACCAAGGAAAAATTACCACACAAACAAGGGAAGGAGTGAGGAGTTTTGTTTCACTGCCTGATCTCTCCCATCCCAAACATCATACACACAGATACTAAATATCACCACACCATAGTAACACAATGCACAAACAAAAGAGGTTATATGAGAAGGGGGGGTGCTTGCATGTGTATATAATACATAATTTATAATTTATTATGTATATCTATATCTATATTCATCAGTTAATTATGTCAATATTAAACCAAATCAAACTCCTTGACACCCCTTCCCTTCCTTCATGGTAGTTTAACTCCTAAGCTTTATCACATCATCTCTGGCTCAACAGAGCACACATCTGCTACCTTTTGCAAATCCAAGTGCAGTCAGTATTGTGGTTCATGACAAAACATGTCACACAACAAGGAGTACAAGCATGTCTTGACATACATGCACATGCTACCCCCTTGGTAATTGGTTAAAAAAAGTTTTTTTCTGCCAATATTTACAGATTATTGCCCACATCTACAAGACTGAATTACAGTAGCTATATCAGTGGTTCCCAAACTTTTCTGGTTGTTACCCACATTTCATACAAGATACTTATCCATGGCCCACTGCTAGGCATAACCCAAAACTACAGGGACTACAGTGACTCATTAGGTCCATATTTATACCACTCTAGCAATTACTGTAATTTTATTGATTCCAGGCAAGTTTTTTGTTCTTTTGTGTAGTAATAAATGATACTAAAGAAATTTAATAATATAATGCACAAGAAATTTCCATACTCTGAGTAAACTGTAATAAAAAATGAATATATTGCTGGAAACTGCTTCAACAATAAACACATAAAACAAGATAAAACAAAATTCCACTGATTGAAAAGTCAATTAATGCCAAATTAGTATATGACTAAATTTCAATGTCTTACTTTATGTCAAGAATACATAACCAGAAAAAAGGATAATTAGGAATTACACAAAGTGATGTATTACTCGTGTATGGCAACAAGGCATTGTGCAAACCTGTACTGAACCTGTAAGTTGCCTCTGCTGGCTGCCTACCCACAAAATTCCATTTGTTTTATACACACATCAAATCCTCAGATTATGGCCCCCTGTATTCTGTTATATGGCCCACAGTTTGGGAACCACTGAGCTAGATGAAGGAAAGATTTGCATGACAATGAAACAGTTAAGACTGACCTTATTTCATAAAACTAACTTACCTAATGGTTTCTCTTCATCTTCACAGTCCAGTTCTGTTTTCAATTCATTGCCTTCCTGCTTTAAGCTAAACTCAGATCCAAAACTACTTGATTCATAGTTCCGAACACTCGACACATCGCTGCTGCAACTGTCCAGACCTTCTGCTGCTGGATCAGACTTAATGACAGATTCTACAAACAAAATTTGACAGTTAGATACACATCATAAATATCTGCAAACACACACTTCTGCACTGACTGGAGGGAAGTTAGGCTTCCAAGGAGTAAGAAATATAATTAGTGAGAGAAAAAAAAATTATAAAGATAAAACAGGATTTTGGAGAAAAATTTCAAACATGAAAATGAAGAAAACTTTTTGCATACCAAACGTTGTTGTGTCATTTGGATGGTCGGCAAGAAGAGATTCAGCATCCTCATCAACTGGAGAATGATCAAACATCCCATCTTCAAACTGAAGTCTTTTAGCAACAACTTGCTGGAGAAGAGATGATCCTTCATTTGTTTCATGAATGTCTGCATTATCCTCAGTTTCTGAAAAAATAGTAAAATAGAGTTGGTAACTTCAAATCACGAAGCTTATCATTTCAATCCTTTTTAACCCACTGGATCCAATGACGTGACCACCACATCATGAGGGCTGGGTGACTGGAATAGGCCATCATGGAAAACTTGGCTAAGGGTCAAATGATTTCATGAGTGTACAAAGCTCTTGGAGGAAGGTTAGACAATTTAAATTTAGGAAGGGGCTTTTGTATTATTTCCACTGGTAAACAAAGGTGAAATGCACCATCTATCAGCCATAGCTGGAAGAGTGCCTGCTCCATTAACCCATTTACGACGGGTGTCCCATATATGAGACACCTGGAAAAATAAACATTGCCGGGTGTCCTGCCAGTGCGACGTTGGATCAGAGCTCGTGCTCCGAATCACGCAGGCAGATTCCGGGCTGGCCTCATGCGCCAATTCTGTAGCCGTCCGGAAAATATTATTTTCGGCTTCAAAATATACCTGCATTAGTGGGTTAAGGACACTATTTCCATGCTCAAGATCATGCACAACACAAGTTTTGTTATAGAAAATTAAATAATATGAAATATACAAACTCTGTTACTTATTGCCATTATTGCACAAAGTTATAGGCTACCTAGAGATAATATAGTCTCCTTAATGAAAAGAGTATATTACCATCTTGATATAGCATAACAAATGAGCATAGACCTTTAAAAATGAATGAATGAGCAGAAAAAGCACTTTTGCAGAATAATGGATAACATTGTAAAGGGGAGGCAAGGAGTCTTGATACTGCACATGAGTGTTAGTGTGGGCTGGGCCTACAAGCCACACATTAATAAATCATTTTAATGATTCATTTATTATCTCCATCTAATTCCTTTTCCTCTTCCTCTCCTAGCCACATCTTCCTATCTTCATCTCCCTCTGCCATTCCCTCTTCCTCTTCCTATTTCAGTTTCACTCTTCACCGTCACCTTCTTTTTACTTTTCCTTTCCACTGCCTTAACCCACATAAACACCAACCTTGCCCTCTTTTGATCAAACTGTGTGGGTTCTCCCCATACAGGGAACTTGTTTAACTCCACTGTGCATGTACATATTTTTTTACCTAAGATACCAATCCAACCTCCTCCATATGCCACTAATTACCTTAGCTGTTGATGCAGCATATGATATTAAATAATCAATCCACTTCCTCCAGCAGATAGGATACAAGTAATTTCCTAAGGTCACTCCAGAGGCAATCACACTAACCAATAACATAGCAAGGTCACCCACTGGTTGTCCAGAGCACGGCTACCCCTCTTGGCTCTAACTTCACTGGGTAGCCTTTCCTTCAGCTCTTTATTTCAGTTGACCCTTTGTACTACTATTCACAACTTACACATTCCTGTACCTCTTCTTTCGTGTCCCTCTACCTTTCCCGTAACTCCTTTACCCACTCCCTCCCTTTCCATAAATAAAAAAGGAAAAAAGTGTCCACATGGCAAGAGACCTGAAACAATAACTTACCAACAAGACCTCCTGTGGGATCTGTGGAAGTGGTTCCTGGGTTGGGGTCAGGAGCCACAGGAAGGGTAGCATCTGCAGCAGGAGGACCTAATGGAATGGTTGGGGTTGATGGAGCTAGACGTACCACCACTAAGTGCTGGTATTCGCAATTTGCCGATGGGCTGCCCTGTAAAGAAAGTAATTTAACATCAAAAAAATGCTCAGCTCACATACATCTAAGAGATATACTACTGCTTACAGTTGTTCTATTACCCCAGTGGATCCAGTTGTGTCACGGAAATCAGTGAGTTACATAAGTAACCAATAATCAGACAAATACTTTTTATATAAAATCAAATTTTCTATGATGACTAAAATTAAAGATCAACTCCTGGTACAAAACATATTATCTTATGAAGACAAACCCATAAGGGAGGCAAGAGACTGGTTTTGCATACCTATTCTCTAGAGAATTACTAGTGTAATAAATATTAAGTACCATAAGTCTACACCCATCAACAGAAGATGTAACCATCACATTATGAAAAAATGTGGCTTGAAGGGTAACATGAATATGCTGTCATGGGAAAATTTGGCTGTGGGCCAGGGTGATACAAATTTGCTTTATGAGCATCTTCGCTGAAGGCAAGGGTGATGGGAATGACTAGCCATGAGTGCACAAAGCTCTTGGAGGATGATTAGACTCATTTGGTGTTTAGGAAGGGTATTTTGCATTATTTGCTGTAAAACAAGTGTGGTTTGTGCAGTCAGTGAGCCATGATTCCGGGAGGATACTATTTCTTTGCTCAGGATCCTATTCTTGGACATAGTGATCGGTGGGGCAAAGCTGCATTCCAAAAAAATTAATACTATGAAAAAGAAAAAAAAACATTTCAAAATGTTATGGACTACCCAGAGAGATGATAGGGAGTCTGTGCAAGGAAAACAGGCTATTAACATCTGGATTAAGTAAATATAGACATGGGAAAAAGGTTAAAAACAAAAAGAGAATATATCATTTGAAAGGCAAGGTTTGGAGTCTTGTCATCGAATACAAGTGTTGATGTGGGCCTGCTTTCCACGCACCCATCTGAGTGGCCACTCAAGTAATGCCCATATTTTGGGTCATTTGATAGCAGTGAAGCATCTGGATTCAATGGGTTAAGGCCTCATTGGAGGAGGGGGGGGG